TATTATTTGCGGCTTGAGTTGCTTAGGGTCAGAGGACCGTGTTCTTATGTGGATGTTAGGACAGTCAATGGTGTTGTTTATCCTACTTTCGAGGGGGCATGCGGGAGTTTGGATTGGTTGATGAGGATGAGGAATATATTGATGCGTTCTATGAAGCTCGTGGATGGTCCTCAATTTATTTGTTGCGGAATATGTATGCTATTTTAATCCATAACGTGTCTATGCTTAGTCTCATACTTGTTTGGAACTCTGTTTGCATATTATTTTTCCTTGATTCTTTCTACTTTAGTTCAGTTGTACGTTTTTTATGTATGTCTTTGCTTTATTCTCCCTAAAATGTTGAAAATGCAAACATAATATGATTTCCTTTTCTGTTGATCATCCTAACATTATATACGTCGGAACCTAGGTCACTGCTTAGTCTACATTGAGAATTTTTTAACTCTTATTGCCCTTTTGATGTTATTATCTATGTTTTTATACTATTATTCTCATTTAAATTTTGTAGGTGTTAGATGGTTTGGCTGGAATGGAATGTAACCTACGATCAAACGGTATGTTTCATTCTCTCGGATTTTATGGAAGAGGTCAAAGTGGTTGATTCACTAATCGATTCATGGGTCTCTTCTATACAGTTTTAAAGAAGGCATGATTCATGTTAGTGTAATCAAAACCATAAATTTAAAAGGACTTTTTCAATAGATTTGTAAAAAAGGGAAAAATTGCTCTTATTTAAGTAGATATTTATACATGCCGTTGAGATCGTAACTACATGGTAATACTGATCTTTTTCTTTTTCTTTTCCTTTTGCCTCTCACACTCATGGGTTGATATGATTGTGTCAATTTTTGCCTCTATCCTTTTCTGCTGATGATCAACTTTGTTTTACTTATCATGGTGTATCTGATCTGAATAGCAATTGTCTTTTTTCTTTACTTGATTGTGTTTTGCAAAAAATTTGGTTTAACATCGAGATGTCTCAGATAGAAATATTTGGTTAAATGTGACAATGTGTTTGAATGTTACTATCTTTACTTTGCTTACTTCGACAAATACAATGAATGTTTAAATCGCCAGGTGACTTTCTTTAGTCTATAGAATCATATTTGTGTCTTCATTTATTATGTGGAAGGATAGTCTTTTTGTTGTTATGCATGTGGGTATATATACCTGAAAAGTTTAAATGTTCTATAATTTTATGTTGCAGATTTAGATATTGTTGAAATCATTTAATCAGATCTTAATAATGTTTTCTATCGTAGAAATTTCACAGAGGTAGAGATTCAATTGAAGTTTAGTTTACTACTACTTCTTTAATGGAAAAAATGTTGGTGATTAGAGTGTTGTTATCAAGAAGATACTTACAAAGGATAATATAAGCAAGAACTAAGACGTGATGGCGGGTAATATCTATTACGATAATCATCATTTTTCTTCCGTCTTTCTTATTAAATTTCCCTTGCTCTTTTTTCTCTTCGTGTCTCATATCTTTTTTTGAATTTTTAATATAATCATCATAATTCTACTGCGCTTTCTGGTTTAATCTTTAGTTCTCATGCTTAATTAAGACTCTAGCATTCTTTTGGACTTAAACAATAAATAGAATAACAAGTGACATATTGTTTCATGAGGTTCCCTACATTAAGTTTTACATCTCAACTTTGTATTTTACAAGTTTTTCAGATGTTATGAATAATATATACAAAACAGTAATCACTTAATATGTGAGGTTTTGGGTGCGAGTTCGGAATTTCTTTACGATGACGATCTAGGTCCTAGAGTTTTTATAAACCATCCAAGACACAGCGGTTCAAGTGCATTGAATTTTTGTTTATTGGATTTTTGTTTTTTAGTCTGATAAAAAAAGTCTCCGCGCAAAAGATCATTTCCGAGATTATTATCTGCCTGTGGTAAAATATTATGCGTCTAAGAACAAGAAATGTGAACATGGAAAAAAGATGAGGAGGATTGCAATTTTGGTCATGATGATTATACGCAGACCTGATTATACGAAAGAAGAAAGTTTATGATTTCTGTTCAGAATTGATATGTTTTCTATCTATGCTTAGTTTGTTTGTCATTTTTCTATTGATTGTTTATTTATTTTTTATGGGTATATTTCATAAGCCTAATTTAGGTTTTAACTTGTGAGCAAAGGAATGAGAAAAAATATTAAAAACCTAATATGTTTAGTTTTTACGATATATGCAATAATTTGTTTTTGTGTGTGGAAACTCTGGTTAGATGGATATCGTGTTTTCGATTGTGTTAGAATATCAAGATTCCAATTTGATCATGATATCCAAGAGGCTCATGAGTTAAGGCATGCAATGTAAGTGTATAACTAAATGATTTTGTTTTAGTCTATTCTGTCTATTGTAAACTTATGATTACCTTTGTATAGACTTGAGGATAGCAAAGCATATGATAATGAATATGATCACAATTCTTCTCCATAGCTCAGCAATTATATATGGACTTGTGCTGGAAATGCGCTTTGGATGCTCAAATTTATGATATGTTTTACTATTTCTTTCAGGATGTTATGTTATTTTCTACGTTTTGTTTTGTTATTTTGTTTAGTTGCAATTTCCACATCGTATTTGTGTTTTCCTTAAAAATACTTTGAAATCTTGATTTGTTTAGAGATTGTTCTTTAGTTTTTCAGACTTCAAATATGGCTCAACTTTTTTCAGTTGCTATTCATATTTATATAGTTACTGATTTCAAATTAAATCATCTTAAAATTGTGTAAGTTATCAAGATTAAAGTTTTAAGAAAGTTTATGCACTTATATAGTGTTGAAACTGCTATTCTAATAGCATGTTCTCATAATTGCCTTTTTATTTTTTATATTTCAATTATTTTGATAAACAAAATTATCCAACATTCCATGCCTGCGCCATGCGCGGACCAACCAGCTAGTAACTAACTAAATAGAAATATTTTTCACCGATTTTTAAGGCAAAGAATAGAAGATAAATATTAGAAGAATATCAATTAGGAAATTTAGGATTGGAATAACAAAAAAATCTCATTTCAAATGTGCTAAAAAGATTAAAATTTTGGTTTGAAAGTAGCCTATGTTTGAGACAATAGAGCTCACAAAGTTTTAGCCCATTTGAGTTTGTACATCAAACCGGTTAAGGGGTAAACAACATATTTTCCATTTCACTTTGCCTCCGTCGATATGGAAAATATCATCGAGACCTTTTATCACAACAAGGTCCCTTGGAGCTGTTTATCCTGGGAAGTTTGTAAATGTGTTTGGATGTTTTGGTCTCAATATATTTGTCTTGGTCATAAAACACCAGGGTGTCACCTCACTCCATATGCTACACGCAGGTCATAAGAAATTAGTCTTTACCAAACCATTATTAAACAAAACCGATATAAACGTGAGTTAACCATATATAATAATAGCATATAATCATATCTCAGTTTATTCTTTAAGACGAATATTCACACATTTTAAGAGCTCTGGAAGTTTCCGTTGCTCACTCTCTTCTTCCATGATTACTCCACAAATACTTATGGAGCTTGAAACTTCCAACAAGCTTACATCGAGCTAGGAGAATAATTGAATCATCTTCACTACTTATCGGTGAAGCTTCCATCCAATTTTGCTGTACACCCGAGCATAATACATACGAGTCTTAACCATCTTGACCATTCAGAATTTTGTACAGAATGAAGTCCACATCAACTAACTTCCGGTTCTGATCTCTTCTTTCTCTTTAAGGCTATGAGAGGGGACCTTATAAATGGTCCAAACAGCTATGTCCTTCTAGGGGACTTGAAGCAAAATTACACTTAAATGAAAACAACATTATTGGAATAAAAAATGCAAAATTGGTGGCTAACAAATGCCTTAGCTAATTAAGAGAAAATAAATTACTGGCTGGCTAAGATAAATCACAAAGAGAAACATAAAAGGTTAGTCAAAAAGAATAATATGATTTAACGAAACAAAAGACTTACACCATTTAAATGCTTCATATTAGAGTAATAATGATGAATCTAGTGGAGAGAAGATGATATTTTTGCTGCATACACTTGAAATTTACTGTTTTGATTGATCAGGATGACATATGGATAGAAGAGATCTTACTCAAAGATACATAGCTATTAGAAATGGTAAATATGCTGGAAAAAGTTTATATATTGCCTTATCGCGGTACTTTCCTGCAAAACTCAACAATTCCTTCTAGTTAGGTACGCAATACAAGCTCTGGGTCTAGTCAACGAGCATAACTTTGCCCGTGAAGTAACTGAGAAGGATAGGTGGTAAGTAGTTGGATGCGCGAGCATGGAGCCTACATCTATGACTAACACTTAATCGTCCTTTTCATTAGCTCAATCACCCCTTGTTCAACATCGAAGTGATCGAATCGAAACTGTAATTTTGTATGTAAAAGAAAACAGTCCAGAAAAGGGTCTCAACAGCGGAATTTGGGGACTTTAAAACGCACCATGGTCTTATGACCTTGGGCAAGCCGAAGAGCACTCTTGGGGCTTTCCGAAAAGGTGCTAACGGTGGCGTGGTTCCATACGGTCCAGAAGTTACATCATTCCAAATTCAAAATTGCTCCAAGAGCTTCTTAGGGCATGTACCGGTTAAGGAAGATATACTAACTTATCAGAGTTATATATGTATATAAGATTTCCGGGTCCAGCTGATACTTTGTGTGATTAAATTCCTTAAAAAGGCTGAGACAATGTTTGAAGCGTCCATTGCATTGTTAGGTTGTTAGACTTGCCCTTATTCAATCAAAACCCCCTCATTGCTTAGCTTATGGCATTGTTTGCATCTCATCATCCACAAATGAATTGACATCTGATCCTTATTCTACAACTGATTAGAGGCTAAAGACATTTGAGTTAAGACATGATTATACAAGAAGGATAGATAATTAAATGCATAGAACTAGATATTGGATCTCGATTGGAGTATATGGTATCTTCTTTCGCTCGACAAATCATCTGGTTCTGGTTTTCAGTCCAGTCAGGAGTTTCTCTACGGAAGAGCTGAGGTTCAAATGAAACTTGTCGGCTGTAACTCTGCTGGAACAGTCACAACATTCTACGTAAGTATAGCATACAATTTCAAAGCAGTTTTCTTTGTCCCTCATTACATATAATTGACGAGTATGTTTTATGATGGCTTTGTGTAGCTTAAATCGCCGGGAACTACGTGGGATGAGATAGATTTCGAGTTCTTGGGAAACATAAGTGGCCATCCTTATACTCTCCATACTAATGTTTACACACAAGGCTCTGGAGACAAAGAACAACAGTTTCATCTATGGTTTGACCCAACCGTTAACTTTCACACTTACTGCATCACATGTGACTATGTTTTGGTTTCTTATGCTTGCTTCTATACAGATATATTCTGCTGTGTTTGGTTTGTACTTGACCTAATAACAATTCAAAACTCTCAATCGTATTCACACTAAAGAAACAATATATGTATCTCATGAGGGTAGATTTTTAGAGCAGATGTCTGCATATAAATTTTGCAAAGAGAGATTAGTATGTAAGACCATGGACACACATGTGTCCACAAGTATCAAGAGATAAGTATTACATATACAATCCAGTATATGTTTTAATCATGAAGAAGTGCTTGAGCATTCTCATTAAAAACAATATCAAAGAACCTTTCCGGTTTTCTGTAGTTCTCATATGCATATAGGTGCAATAGCTTGGTGTCTATCTCGTCAGCTGCAACCGCATGAAGCTGAAGCATGTCCAAACCACTTCAGTGATCAGTACAATACCCAAAAACTCATGTCATTAATAATGTTGTTAGTACATTTAACTTTACAAAGTGGAGTTCTAATTCCAAGCACCATGTGAATGGCCTTTGCCACCTCCTAATGTCTGACATCACATACTTACGTTTCTGGTTGCTGTTGACTATGTATCTAAGTGGGTAGAGGCGTTGGCTACTCCTACTAATGATGCGATAGTGGTTTTGAAGCTGTTTAAGACTATTATTTTCTCCAGATTTGGTGTCCCGCGAATTGTTATAAGTGATGGTGGTTCTCACTTTGTTAACAAGGTCTTTGACAAGCTGCTGAAGAAGTATGGTGTACAGCACAGAGTGGCCACGCCTTATCACCCCCAGACCAGTGGACAAGTTGAGGTTTCCAACAGACAGATCAAGCAGATTCTGGAGAAGACAGTTGGGAAGACAAGGAAGGATTGGTCAGCAAAACTGGATGATGCATTATGAGCTTACAGGATAGCATACAAAACGCCTCTTGGGACTACACTATTCCATCTGCTCTATGGCAAGGCATGCCATCTACCAGTGGAGCTAGAGTTCAAAGCAGAATGGGCTATCAAGAAGCTGAACTTTGATCTGAAGCCTGTTGCAGAGAGGCGCTTGATTCAGCTCAATGAACTGGATGAGATCAGATATCTAGCCTATGAAAACTCCAAGTTATACAAGGAGAGGACAAAGGCATATCATGATAAGAAGATCATCTCCAGACATTTCGAGCCTAATGACCAGGTACTCCTTTACAACTCTCGTTTACAGCTTTTTCCTGGTAAAATGTGTTCTCGTTGGCCAGGCCCCTTCACTGTCAAAGAGGCTCGACCACATGGTGCCATTGTCTTTATCAACTCCAAAGGAGAGGAGTTCACTGTCAATGGACAGAGGGTGAAACGCTATTGGGCGCAAGCCGAGATTCCAGCAGGACACATTGTATCTCTGGTGCATGTGACTTCTTAGCCGTATTTCTGTTACTCTCTCTTAAATTGCATGCAAATCAGAAATGAATTAGAACCGTCCTGAACATGAATCGCAAAGATATAACTAATCAATTCTCATTGCAAAAGTTAACTATGCCTAAATCACAGCGTATACCATCTCCTGAGACTCTATGACCAAGAACAATACCATCTTGTACCATAAAATGGCACTTCTCCCAGTTCAGAACCAAGTGCTTCTCTTCACATCTCTGCAGAACTGCACACAAGTTGTCCAAACGGCTCTTGAAAGAAGATCCATAAACTGAGAAGTCATCCATGAAAACCTCCATAAACTTCTCTATCATGTCAGTGAAGATCGACATCATGCATCTCTGGAAGGTTGCAGGAGCATTACACAGTCCAAAAGGCATTTTGCGATATGCAAAAGTGCCATAAGGACAGGTAAATGTGGTCTTTTCCTGATCATCTGGATGGATGGGGATCTGAAAGAAGCCTGAATAGCCATCAGGGAAGCAGTAATACTTGTGATTCGCCAGCCTCTCAAGCATCTGATCGATGAAAGGCAGAGGGAAGTGATCTTTCTTTTTGGCTGCATTCAGCTTCCTGTAATCGATGCACATCATGTGTCCTGTCACAGTTCTGGTTGGAATCAGCTCATCCTTATCATTCTTCACCACTGTAACTCATCCCTTCTTAGGGACCACGTGCACTGGGCTGACCCAAGCAGTGTCTGATATGGGATAGATGATCCCAGCTTGAAGCAGCTTCATGATCTCCATCTTGACCACATCATGTAGATTCGGATTCAGTCTCCTATGGTGCTCCACTGATGATTTCGATTCATCCTCCAAATGTATCCTATGCATGCACAAGTCTGGAGCAATCCCTGAAATATCATCTAGAGAATAGCCAAGAGCTTTGCGAAATCTGCGCAGCTTACTTAGCAAAAGAGTGAGCTCTGCATTGTTCAATGAAGCATTAACAATGACAGGATAAGTGGAGTTTTCTCTGAGTATCTAGCATCTGATTTTGTATGCACTATGGAATGAGATACAAGTCTTATTCAAAGGCCTAATTTCTCAAAATACCCATCGCAGGTTACACCAAGAGTCTGATCAACACTTGTCTCATTGAAGAGATCCCAAATCCACTGCTGTTCTTTACTTTTCAACTTAATGGCTTGAAGAAAGGTGAACGGATTAAGAGATTGTCGAGGATAAAGAGATCGGATCATAGCAGTAGCTGAGAGATCTCTAGGGTGATCGGATATCTTCGTTTCCACTCGATTTTCATTGGGATTTCTTCTGGCCAATCTGTTTCCAGCCTTGTCTAAGGTGAGTGCATAAATGTGGTTAGTATTTAGGATCGTTGGATTGCTAGGGTTTGATGTTTTGCATGTTTGATTGTGTGGTTGCATGTTTTGGTGTTAGCGTGTGTTAAACGATTCTATACTATGATATTGCAAGGTGTTTACCGTGGCATAGATGATGTCTAACTAACCTCAGGATAATCTGGATCATGTACTAGCTTAGGGGATATGAGATTCTTGCTGAAGTAGACATGGGTCTTAAAAAGGGATTGAACTTGGGCGGTTAGGGTAGATGGTCATGGCCGTTTGATATGAGTTATGTTTATTGTGAATTGATTGTGTGGACACCTACACTAATTTCGACGAAAATGATCAAGTTGGTTATTTTATTTACTGCGGTAAGGCACTGACTGGGACACGACTTCCAGGTCCAGCTGATACTTTCTAAATGCGTGATTTACCTTTGGGATGAAAAGGTCTCTAAGTGAAAAATCAGATCTAGATCAACTATATGAAAACAAGAAAAATAGCCATAAAAACGAAAAAGTAAACAAGAAATCAGAAATCAAGGCAAAAACCAGGAAAGAGGAAACAAGGAGCATAGCTTATACTCCCTCCGTTTTTTATATAAGATGTTTTAGCACTTTGCACACAGATTAAGAAATCTAGTATAATCCATATTCTAACCTTATTTATTGTTAGTTAAGTTTTAATTTATCAATTAATGTGAGGATAAAAACAATCATTTATCATCAAATTTTGCATTGAAATCTGAAAACATCTTATAATTAAAAACAAAAAAAAACTCTTAAAACATCATATAATTAAAAACGGAGGGAGTATTAAGTTTGATTGAACAAGGACTTATTGATCTAGTAATCTTTGATCGTATATTCTATCATGATTTCAGGATATTGGTTACGCTAAGCTCGCGAATCTGGACCCTAAATACGGTTTATGTAAGTCTTATTGTGAAGTAATTCTGATTAATCACACTTGACCTTGTTGAGAAACAGGGGATGGTAATTTATAAATCGAGTTATGGTTTGGTATTACAGATTCAAGTTTTATTCCTCCCCTGGTGTATGCTTGTATGGGAAGTTTTACAAAATGGTCATATAAGCTTGTTTGATGGAACTAGAGATCAGATGGCCAGAACCGGACCAAAGACCAATTCTAGAGAGAGAACACACCAGGATAGAGAGATAAAGAGAGAGGAGAGGAGACCGCCGATCTATCCTCATTAGTGGCATCGGGGGCGCAACACCCTTGACCTATTCTCACTAGGGACATCTTGAACTAGTGATGCGGAAATTAACCAGCTGTTCAATTTGTACGTGGTATACACGGATGCATCACATAATGGACTAAGAAAGTCGAAAGCACAAACGGTGTCAAAGCTGAAACTGCCAAAGAGGGTAAGATAGATAGGAGGGAGATTGAGAAGACTTCAAATCTTCTTATGCCCAGGACAAGGCAGAGAATGGTGTCTGTGACCAGTACATAACAGATCATATCAAAGATAGTCAATCTCTTTTATTTTGTCTTTAAGAGTGCTCATAAGTCCTAAGAAGGTTTGCTCTCTTAAGAATTTGTTCCCTTCATGACCATAAGAATCAAAGACTGTGCGATGTAAGTCTACTGCAAACATACAATCATGTTTATGTCCTTTTGCTTGCCTAGCTTGAAAGCATCACCAACAAACGCCAAAAAGAACAGGGAAGAAACTACAACCTTAAAGAAACTCTAACCATAAAACCCATGAAGTTGATCTGATTTTCTCCTGTACGTCACCAAGGTTAACCCCCAATGTTCCCTTGACGAGAATCCTTCGAAAGACAGATGGAGGTGCAGGGGTATCTTGTGGGCTTGAAAACACATTGGTTGAAGAGTTCCATGAAGTCTCTTGCACTTGGCTCCTTGTAATGGACCTCTTCTTCAGCAGCTTTCCTCTTTCCTTAAATATATACTAAGAGATGCTGCAGACATGCGACTACTATTCAAATCATTCCAGCTAAACCACAACGAATCCAGCAACAAAACCAGATTCTTTGGAAACTTTACTCATCAGAAAATTGAGGCAAATTGGATTTATGCCAAAATCCATTACGGTTTAAAAGTTATTCAACTTTTGGTGGAAGAAGAGAGGGAATCGTTTAGGATGTAGAGGTCTCTATCCATAAAAAGATTGGTGCAGAACGAGAAATTTTTGAAGATGATTATCAAACTAACTCAAGAAGCAAATAAGAGATCTTCATATGATGATGGTAA